TGAGAAACATAACTTTCATTTATTAAAATTTCCATTGGGCTTAGACCTCATTAGACCTGAATTTCAAAAGTAGGAGTTTTGTTCTGTCTTAGGATAAGAAAGCACTTGCAAGATTCTGTCGCTTTATATCAAAAGAAAGCGTTAAAATATTGTGACACTGTGATATCGGCCTTGATTTTCATCTGAGAAACGTAACTTTCATTTATTTAAATTTCCATTGGGCTTAGACCTCATTAGACCTGAATTTCAAAAGTAGGAGTTTTGTTCTGTCTCAAGATAAGAAAGCATTTGCAAGATTCTGTCGCTTTATATCAAAAGAAAGCATTAAAATATTGTGACACTGTGATATCGGCTTTGATTTTCATCTGAGAAACATACTTTTCATCTATTAAAATTCCCATTGGGCTTAGACCTCAATAGACCTGAAATTCAAAAGTAGGAGTTTTGTTCTGTCTTAGGATAAGAAAGCATTTGCAAGATTCTGTCGCTTTATACCAAAAGAAAGCATTAAAATATTGTGACACTGTGATATCGGCTTTGATTTTCATCTGAGAAACGTAACTTTCATTAATTTAAATTTCCATTGGGCTTAGACCTCATTAGACCTGAATTTCAAAAGTAGGAGTTTTGTTCTGTCTTAGGATAAGAAAGCACTGGCAAGATTCTGTCGCTTTATATCAAAAGAAAGCATTAAATTATTGTGACACTGTGATATCGGCTTCGATTTTCATCTGAGAAACGTAACTTTCATTCATTTAAATTTCCATTAAGCTTAGACCTCATTAGACCTGAATTTCAAAAGTAGGAGTTTTGTTCTGTCTTAGGATAAGAAAGCACTTGCAAGATTCTGTCGCTTAATATCAAAAGAAAGCATTAAAATATTGTGACACTGTGATATCGGCTTCGATTTTCATCTGAGAAACATAACTTTCATTTATTTAAATTTCCATTGGGCTTAGACCTCATTAGACCTGAATTTCAAAAGTAGGAGTTTTGTTCTGACATAGGATAAGAAAGCATTTGCAAGATTCTGTCGCTTTATATCAAAAGAAAGCATTAAAATATTGTGACACTGTGATATCGGCTTTGATTTTCATCTGAGAAACATAACTTTCATTTATTAAAATTTCCATTGGGCTTAGACCTCATTAGACCTGTATTTCAAAAGTAGGAGTTTTGTTCTGTCTTAGGATAAGAAAGCACTTGCAAGATTCTGTCGCTGTATATCAAAAGAAAGCGTTAAAATATTGTGACACTGTGTTATCGGCTTTGATTTTCATCTGAGAAACATAACTTTCATTTATTAAAATTTCCATTGGGCTTAGACCTCATTAGACCTGAATTTCAAAAGTAGGAGTTTTGTTCTGTCTTAGGATAAGAAAGCACTTGCAAGATTCTGTCGCTGTATATCAAAAGAATGCGTTAAAATATTGTGACACTGTGATATCGGCTTTGATTTTCATCTGAGAAACTAAACTTTCATTTATTTAAATTTCCATTGGGCTTAGACCTCATTAGACCTGAATTTCAAAAGAAGAAGTTTTGTTCTGTCTTAGGATAAGAAAGCACTTGCAAGATTCTGTCGCTCTATATCAAAAGAATGCGTTAAAATATTGTGACACTGTGATATCGGCTTTGATTTTCATCTGAGAAACGTAACTTTCATTTATTTAAATTTCCATTGGGCTTAGACCTCAGTAGACCTGAATTTGAAAAGTAGGAGTTTTGTTCTGTCTTAGGATAAGAAAGCACTTGCAAGATTCTGTCGCTTTATATCAAAAGAAAGCGTTAAAATATTGTGACACTGTGATATCGGCTTTGATTTTCATCTGAGAAACATACTTTTCATTTATTAAAATTCCCATTAGGCTTAGACTTCATTAGACCTGAATTTCAAAATTAGGAGTTTTGTTCTGTCTTAGGATAAGAAAGCACTTGCAAGATTCTGTCGCTTTATATCAAAAGAAAGCATTAAAATATTGTGACACTGTGATATCGGCTTTGATTTTCATCTGAGAAACATACTTTTCATTTATTAAAATTCCCATTGGGCTTAGACCTCATTAGACCTGAATTTCAAAAGTAGGAGTTTTTTTCTGTCTTAGGATAAGAAAGCACTTGCAAGATTCTGTCGCTTTATTTCAAAAGAAAGCGTTAAAATATTGTGACACTGAAATTCTTGCTTTGATTTTCATCTGAGAAACATAACTTTCATTTATGAAAATTTCCATTCTGCTTAGACCTCATAAGTCCTGAATTTCAAAAGCTATATTTTTATTTTACTCAGGATTAGAAAGCACTTGCAAGATTCTGTCACTTTATATCAAAAGAAAGCGTTAAAATATTGTGACACTGAAATTCTTGCTTTGATTTTCATCTGAGAAACATAACTTTCAATTATTAAAATTTCCATTCTGCTTGGACCTCATAAGTCCTGAATTTCAAAAGCTAGAGTTTTGTTCTATCTCAGGATAAGAAAGCACTTGCAAGATTCTGTCACTTTATATCAAAAGAAAGCGTTAAAATATTGTGACACTGAAATTCCTGCTTTGATTTTCATCTGAGAAACATTACTTTCATTTATTAAAATATCCATTCGGCTTGGACCTCATAAGTCCTGAATTTCAAAAGCTAGAGTTTTGTTCTATCTCAGGATAAGAAAGCACTTGCAAGATTCTGTCACTTTATATCAAAAGAAAGCGTTAAAATATTGTGACACTGGGATTTCTGCTTTGATTTTCAACTGAGAAACATTACTTTCATTTATTAAAATATCCATTCGGCTTAGACCTCATAAGTCCTGAATTTCAAAAGCTAGAGTTTTGTTCTATCTCAGGATTAGAAAGCACTTGCAAGATTCTGTCACTTTATATCAAAAGAAAGCGTTAAAATATTGTGACACTGGGATTTCTGCTTTGATTTTCAACTGAGAAACATTACTTTCATTTATTAAAATATCCATTCGGCTTAGACCTCATAAGTCCTGAATTTCAAAAGCTAGAGTTTTGTTCTATCTCAGGATTAGAAAGCACTTGCAAGATTCTGTCACTTTATATCAAAAGAAAGCGTTAAAATATTGTGACACTGAAATTCTTGCTTTGATTTTCATCTGAGAAACATAACTTTCATTTATTATAATATCCATTCGGCTTGGACCTCATAAGTCCTGAATTTCAAAAGCTAGAGTTTTGTTCTATCTCAGGATAAGAAAGCACTTACAAGATTCTGTCACTTTAAATCAAAAGAAAGCGTTAAAATATTGGGACACTGAAATTCCTGCATTGATTTTCATCTGAGAAACATAACTTTCATTTATTAAAATTTCCATTCTGCTTAGACCTCATAAGTCCTGAATTTCAAAAGCTAGAGTTTTGTTCTATCTCAGGATAAGAAAGCACTTGCAAGATTCTGTCACTTTATATCAAAAGAAAGCGTTAAAAAATTGTGACACTGAAATTCTTGCTTTGATTTTCATCTGAGAAACATAACTTTCATTTGTTAAAATTTCCATTCTGCTTAGACCTCATAAGTCCTGAATTTCAAAAGCTAGAGTTTTGTTCTATCTCAGGATAAGAAAGCACTTGCAAGATTCTGTTACCTTATATAAGACCACGATTTCCCAGCCCGGCAAGGCAACTCTGCGTGTTTTAATTTCTCCGACACCTAGGTTAGGGCGTGAGGGTTATCAGGCAGGGTAGGCAGGGTCGTAAAGGGGAGTAAGGCTCGGGCAGCGGCTTTGGTTACTCAAAGCCCCCCGGAGAATCAAGTAAAGAATAATTATTTGAGAATAAAAATGATGAGCACCACTATGGCGGCCAGGGACTAAGGCGCCGTATTGTTGGAGTTCAAATTGTCAAACCAAAAGTCTTTGCCGAGCGCATCAAAGCTCTTTACATCAGCCCCCAAAGGGGTGAGATGGGCCGTAGACATGTTTGACGCGCGCCGTAGGGGACCCTAGACCCCAGACGCACGTCGCACATACAAAACAAAAAAAAACGAAGAAAGTAAAAATCAACAAAAATATTACATGAAAATCTATCATTTAGTTGAAAAAATCTTCTTTTCAATAAAATTTATATAATGAGTGTTCAAATCGCCTAAAACTAGTTTAAAAAATCTTGTGTCGAGGCTCTAAACGAAATGAAACGAGGCAATTTAATTTTTGTTATAATATATGTAACGAAATATGGGAGCGGGTGTGACAGCAAAGTAAACTGCTTGATGTCCCAAGTACAACGCCGGTTGCCTATCCGTTAAATTTAGAGTTAAGTTTACCGATAAATGCAATTTGCCACTAACCAGGCTGGAAAAACCCTTTATTCTAGTTTTAGTATAAGATTTCATAGTTAAGGCCTCCTTATTGACATAGTCAAATCAAGTCTTCAACAATAGGAAACATTTTTATCAATAATTGGAAAATTTAATCATCGATTGTTGTAAAGACTTGATTTGACTATGTCAATAAAGAGTCCTTAAAAAAGATCACTTTTAATTATTTTAAATTTAAAATTGAAAACCAATTATATATTTTCAATTCATTTATTCTCTCGCAACAAGTCGCATACAGAAATGGAAAAGCCACATTGGGGGAGAATTGGCAGCCAGCTCTAGTAATTAATAAAAAAAATTATTCCACTCATTCTTTTGTTTTGACCGTGGCTTTGGCCCCGCCACTGCGATCGGAGAACTTCTGTTTTTTGCTAACTAATTAATTTTTTGCTTAACCATAAAATTAATTTTTTTCAAGGGTTTCTTATAATATTTCCTTTTGAATTTCTGGCAATTGTTCTTGGTTAATTTCTTACACATTAATTTTGAGTTTATATTAAATTTAGAGGAACTTAAAATTCACAAAATAATTAATATAAATTAATTGGAAATCACTTGTAGAATTCATGGGATTCTATTGCAATTCAAGGGAATTTATAAAGACATTTTTATAATTCAACCGTAAATTCACGGAACTTTCTAGATGCAATTAGAAAGTCATCAACCCTTTGCTATTTGTTCGCAGGACACCGGGACACCCAGTTGGTGCAGTTTCGGGCAACTCCCGTCCGATCCCTTCGCACCCGTCCGAGCTGTCCGAAGGCCCTGACCGCTGGCCTGTCTCGGCGTTGGCTCCTCCGAGGACGACCGGAAGGCCGACTTACATTCTCATCAGCAGCACTCTTCCTAAACTCCAGGTGGCTCTCGAGACCAGTCTTCATATCATCAAGCTCTAAAAGAGTGGCAGGAAGCTTGGCAAAAATTTCCTGCACCTTCTTGAACGTAGGATCCTTGGGAGTGCAACCGATGGTCTTCTCGGCGCAACAGCTTTCAGCCTTGCATCTTCAGATTTCAGCCTGTTCCATGCCTCTACAACATTTTGGTAGGTCCTCTGGGGCAAAAAATAAGCTAGGTGATTGGAAAATCAAGAAATACCTTACCAAGAGGTTTTTTTGAGCACGCTTCTTCATCATCAGGGCTAGACTTTTCTCCTCCATGCTCTGCATTCGAACTCGCAATCTAAAAGGAAGGCTTTAATTCACAGTTATTATAAAGAAAACAATAGAATACTTTTCCAGGCAAGCTCTATGCCTTGTCTTCCCTTTGTCCTCAGAGTGGTTTTGATCTTTTCCATCCTGCAAGTCACTGGAGGAGAAACTGCTTGTCGTCGAGTCACTTTCGAAAGAGCTCTCATTTCCGGACCCAAATGAGGAGCTTTCCGAGCTTTCATCATTATGATCGCCTAGATCACTTTGAGACGATGATTCACTCTTGTCGTCCTCGATTTCCTTTTTTGATTGGTTAAAAAAAATTAGAATAGAATTAAAAAATGAAAGCAAAAATTTCAAATAATGTCCCATTTTTTTACCTGCAGTATTGCCCTATAGTGGATCAGAAATTCAGGGTAAACCTGATCTTCCTTGTAGATGACGTACTCGGGGTAGCGCAGGAAATGTTTTAAGGGCTTTCCATAAACAGAGTCATAGCCTTGAGGTGGAGGGTGAGGAGTGGCTTTGGAAGCTGTCATCATCTTGCCCAAAGTGACTCTACCCAAAATGATCGAGCGAACACAAAGTTCACACATAATTTCATCGTGTTTCTCACAAGGCTGCAACCCATTGAGGACCGATGGGACTTCGAGCTAATGTTAGTAATATAAATGCCTGTAAAAGATAATAAATTATTGTAAAAATTTTTTCATTAAAAAAAGGCAAGTGAATTGCAGACCTTTTCCAAACATGCCAACATTCGATCCAATTACAAAACCATTTTGCACAATATTCATGGCATGTTCGTTTTTTGTCCCATGGAATAGGTATTTTTCATTTACATCAATAGTCTCATGTAAGTGCGAAATCAAAATGTTTTCTCTCTGTTTTACATATTCGTCCCAAAGCTTGGAGTTGTGAACGCGGAAGATCTAAAAATATCAGTTTTTAAAAAATATAATTATAGATAAAAAGAATCTAAGCTTTCTTCAAATCTAACCTTGTCAATATCGTAGTAAGCAATTTTTTCTTGGCGGACATGCTCTCTAATGCTATTTTGCATAGCTTCTTCAATGCTTCCAAAGTCTTTGTCAGTCCTTTCCAATCTCTCTATATAAAAAATTTCTTCTGATTGCCTATTTTCCTATTCTCGCTCCCTCGCATCGTACGGCATGGGTTTTTCATTGAAAATGCAAGTACTGCTGGTGCTCTCTTTCTTGTCAGCAGCAACCCTTAATTCGTCTTCGTCATCCTCAGTTCGGGCGAATCGGCTGCGTTTGGCGGATGGACTCCTCGTACCTTCATCGTCGTTTTCTTCTGAGCTGGCGTACTCATCAGCCATCTTCCGCAATAAAGAATTAATTATGTATATTATTTGTGAAATTGGCAAAAATTTATATGAAAGTTTTCAAAATCTCTCTGTTTTTATATCAAATCAAATTGCAAATAAAAAAAGGGAATAAAAATATAGGGCAGGTCTTTTAATAATAACCCAACCAGCAATTTTTATTTCCTGAATATTCCTGAATAATTTTGAATTGGTTGAAATTAATTTCAGAATATATTCCACATTATTCAAAATTAGAAAATGTAATGCTTTTTCATCATTCAGGAATAATGTATGAAAATATTTTCACACATTATTCAGCAATATTACTGCAATATTATAAGCAGTTTTATTCCCTCACTGGCTCACTGCTTTATATTTTCATTTTAAATTACGGAATTATAACTGAAATAATGCTGAATATTATTTGCAATTAATCAAAATTTATTATTGAGATACAAAAAACTTGTGGCATTCATTCAGTTAAGGACTTCCTAATGATATAGTCAAATCAAGTCTGTACAACAATGGTTTGTTAAATTTACAATAATTGCCAAAAATTGCTTCTATTGTTGCAAAGACTTGATTTGACTACATCAATAAAGAGTCCTTAAAATTTTGCTATTACACAACAATTTAGCAGCATAACCAAAATACAAACTATGCACCGTTTTCGTCAGTGCGCACCAAGTTTGTCAAGCTTATACCCGGCGTGTTTTGACAAATGGCCAAAAAAATTTCAGTCCCCTCAAAATTATCATGAGTCCAGGTTAAAATATGTAGTGAAATCAGGTACAGGGGAGTTTCAACAAAGGGCTTCTTGGCTGATCTGTACTGAACGTAGGCTCGTCAGGCCATCACACAAACTCGGGCTCCGAAAATATGGCTTCATCATCAAGAATTTCTATAAAAATAATAATTATGAATTAAAGATTGGGAAAAAAAGGAAATAAATTTTACCTACAGCATGGTTATTTTGTCAGGTGTGTGGTGATCCTTTTAGTCCTTTTACTCCTTTTGAATTTTTTAAAGATTTGCTTTTACTCGATCAGCTTTGTGGCTGTGGCACTCACTCATCTGTGGATACAAAAATAATTACTTTTTTTAAATTTTCAAATGCACCTAATTGTAAGATAATTATAAAAGGGTTTGCGCCAATTACGCCAATCATATTTGCGATAATTTTTTTAATCAAACTTATAATGCTCAAGAACTAACTTTGATTAGAAAACTAAAATTTTAAACAAAAATGAAAATAAACTAAAATTTAATACATAAGAAAAGTAAATTATAAAATGAACAGCGTTTAAAAAAAATCGCCCTTGTATGTTTGGCAACTGAGAATTCTCTTAATCATTTGGGAAACGTTAATTATTTTTGGAAATGAAGATATCGGGCTTTTCCTCGATGCAAAAAAAATTGTTTTTATTTAAAAACAAACGGCTCTACCAGTTTCGGTCACGGTCTGCGACCCTATTTCATGAGCAAGAAAAAATACAAAAAATCAGCAAATTGAAAAAACATCATATTTGAAAATAAAAATTAAAATCTTGAAAACTAACAAATTCAGTATTTGTTTAGTTTGTTAGTTTTTAAGATTTTAATTTTTATTTTAAATGTGGTGTTTTTTTCAATTTGCTGATTTTTTGTATTTCTTCTTGCTCATGAAATAGGGTCGCAGACCGTGACCGAAACTGGAAGAAACCGTTTGTTTTGGAATAAAAACAATTTTTTGCAACGAGGAAAAGCCCGATATCTTCATTTCCATGATCATCTCCTCGAGTGTACGTCAACTTCTACTTCTTCAAATTAATTATTTTTGTTCAGTGTTTCCACTGCACAGGGAAGGCGAGAGACCCGAGTTCAATTCATCGTCGCATTAAATAATGTGCCGTTAAATAATTATTAACATTGCGCGATAATTCAAATTCGTCACGCGCAGCGCGCAGCCCGCAACACTGCCCCGGGTCAAGAAAAGCATAGAGAAGAGAATAATTATGTGTATGTAATTATAAACCGTCCAACTGACACGCAAAATTTAAAGAAAATCAAAGAAAATAGATGATAAATTAACGAGGAACAATGAACGTAGCTTACCTTGTTTCGCGTACAGTTGACCCAGTCAGTTAAAACTTTAGAAACAGCAAATTTTCACTGCGAAACCGAAACCCGAGCGAATTTTTATTGGATTCAAAATGGCGATACACCGGCCGGCGGTGCACAAACTGCACCTCTGAATTGCATGCAGCGCCGTCTATATTATTGCATTAAAATATTCAGCATTATCCAGGAATATTTTTAAAAAACGAGCGAGTTAATCTTGCCTCAATAAATTAAGAATTTTTTTCCACATTAATTTCAAGAAATTATTGCAAAGTTAAAAAATGTATAATTTAAAAAATTATTTTAAAAATATTGCAGATTATTTTTTTAATACTTATTAAACATTTATAATATTTATTTAAACATTCGAATCTTGTAGAGTCCTACTTTCTTAGCAAAAATTAAAATGAACATATAGGTGAATATTTTGTATAATTTTGAATAATGTAAAACATAAATTGCTGACTGGGAATAATATTCTGTAACATAACTTTTAGTTTTAATTCTATTTAATTCACTTTCCATGTCCGCAAAGCTTCCAAATCAAATTTAATACAGATTCCTGTTCATATCCTTAGGGCAAACAAGTTAAAACAAAGAAAAGTTAAAAGTCAGTCGATCCTGCCGACCTTGGAAGCTTATCATGATTTTTTTACGGTCGCGAGAATTTTCGGTTACGAAAAAACTTTTTCCGTTGGGTGGAGTTAAAATTTTCGGTCAGGAAAAATATTTTCGGAGGGCGGAGCTAAAAATTTCCGTTCGGAAAACTTTTTCACTTGCGCGTAAATCTTTTTCACTTGTGAAACAGTTTTTACGGTGGCGCTGGGGGGGGGCGTGTGTGGCGTGGGTTTGTTTTGATCATGGAAGTGGAATAAAAACGGTAAAAAATTGAGTTTTCTTTATTTTGCCCAATCGCTTTGATAATAATTTGATGGAATATTAAATTTAGATCAATTTCGTATGCTATTCTCCTTAAATTATCGGCCCGGCCGCGGATTAAAAGAAATTGTTGCGACTGGTTCGGAGCATAGGTCATGGTTTGTCACATTAAATTGCACTATAAATACCTTTCCCTTAATTTTTAATTAATTGGGAGATACACAAATTGCCCTACAGTAAATCGTTCACATAATATTAGCACAACGAATGATCTATCTGTTTATTTATTATAGAAACCTCACTTCAAACATCCAAGCTAATGACAATGATCAGCTTTTTTACGGTTCAAAATTTTCGGCTGCTAGGAGCAGCCGTAAAAATCACTTCCATTTGATCAATGTTAAATTTTAACCTGACCGAGAAAAAGTTTTTCGCCTCATGTAAAGTGTGTTCACTGCCGGTAAAACGAACAACGCCATCTAGTGGCCAGAAAAAAAGCTAGCTCGACCGTAAAAATGTTTTTCCGTGACCGTAAAAAGTTTTTTCCGCGATCGAAAAAAATTTATTCGTAAATCGAGAGTTACGCCCACTTTCACACAACCGTAAAAAATCATGATAAGCTTCCTGCCCTAGTAAAGGAACGTAACTTCCTATAGGACGCAGGTCGGACTTGTCCGGGGGCCCACCCATGGGGTCAAAGGGTGGCCCACAAAAGCCACTGATTTAGGCAACCTACAACGCATTTTGTGACAAGGCGCTGCCTACTTTACAGGGGCATCCTTTAAGTTTTACGTCTCGATCCGATCGGTCTCAGGCGACCTCTGGCGGTCTCGGGGTGTCCAACGGCCTCAAAACGGTCTCGAACGACCTCGGACGGTCTCGTTTTTGACAAGGCAAATATATGAAACGTACGACACGGCTCACCCCAGACCTTGAATATCTTTTATTGAATAATATTGTAAACGTGCGTGCAAAATCTTATCATACGAGAACACGGCGTGTGAAACTGTCTCGTCTGAGGTAAAAAATACACTATTGGCGGAAAGGAGATAATCTTATCCTACCTTTGCTCAAAACTCCTGAAAAATTCGACAAATTTGAATATTTGTCGACCAGGAAGGACCAGGACCGAGCGAGACCTAGATGTCGATTGCAAATTGCAAAAAATGTTTGTGTCGGGCAGTCGGCAAACTCTCCTCTTCTCGACTCAACGACCTGCACCGGCAGCAGACAACAGAACAGAACAGATCAGCCGGGTGAGGTGAACGGGAGGGCGGGGGAAAAAGAACAAATTCGAATGGAGAGAAACGTGCAGCTCCGAACATGTCTCAACCGGCCCATAGCATATTGCACGCCGGCCAAAATAAGCGCGTTCACGCCTCACGGGCGCCTGATGTACATGAGCGCGCAGAGAAAAAGTGAATGCAAAATGCAAAACTAAAAAATTTAAATCGATCAATTTGATGGGACGCATTTCTTTCCTGGACGGCACGTCAAAAATTTAATTTGATAAAAAAAACTCATTATATGTTGGTGGTTGGTCACATGATCATTTCTGTGAAGTGATAAAAATTCTGATTTTTTTTTTAATAAAATACATTTTTTATCTTTTCTGCTAGGGGTACATATTTTTCAAACAATTTTACGATACTCAAAAAATTTTATAGGGTCCTAACGTGTTTAATAGAGGAAACATTTTAAAGTCAATCTCGGCAGCAATTATGAATATAATATTGAAAACGAGTGACCTGACTAGTCATAATTTTTGGTCCTAATTAAAATTTGTTTCAGGCAAATCTTATTTTCTTGACATCAATTATATTTTGAATTAATGTTTTTTTAATCGACTAAACTCGATCGTTTATAATGTGAGGTATTTAATTTTATATTAATTTCTGGATAAATGAAATGTTAAATATTTTTTTATAAAGTTTTCAATGAATTAAAATATCTCAAATGAATAAAAATCATGTTAGATTTTATAAAAATATAAACAAATTCTTCATGCACTCAGGCGATGACTTTCAATGGACATTATTGTTCATTTTATTTTCTGTCGAAAAAATGACACTCTGTTGTGCACATGAAAGTTCTTCATTTATTTAATAAATCTCAAGTAAATTATTTTTCCTGTTTTATATTTACTACATTAGAAATCTTATATTACATGACTGTACGGATTATACGTGAGGCAATGGAAAGTATTTGAGAGCATCAATTAATGTTGGCATGCTCCTGTTAAGGCTTTACAGATAGTTGCAGGAGCTAAATGATTGTGTGAAACCAATCTTTAAAGCCCATGAAGAAAAATCGTCTCCTTTTTGGTGTGTTCAGGGTGGGTGTCCAAAATTCTGATCATCATGCAAAGTTTCCTAAGTCCTTTGGTGCTTTTACTCCTATAATCATTTTTATAAATTTAATAATTTAATTTTCTAAAGCAAAATATATGAATTCACCTTTCTTAGGTATAAAACCAGCTTGGTAAACACTTTCTTGTCTGTTAAACCAAGCCTGTAGCATTCTTCTCCAACACTCCACTCTCCTGGATCTTGGCAGGCACAGGTAACATGAAAACGGCCGTCTTTCTTTGTTACCATTATGGTGCGGATTTCTTCAGGGTTTTCTAACTTCAAGTTCAAAACTAAAATAGCAAGGCCCAATTGAGAATGTATTATTAAGGAATAGGATAAGTCTCTTACCAGCTGTGCAGAACAAGAAGTCAACACCGCCAATCTGGACCTCATCTTTGAACATGGCTAAAGCTTCTTTAAAGGATTTTTTTGGTGGCCTAGGATACTCCATGCTTGTTGGTTCGATGAGAAGGTAGTTGTGACTCAAGACATATAGCAGCTGAAGGTTAGTATTTTTTTTGCACTGAAAATAATGAAAAGATATTTAAAATATAAATTTCAATAATCTATGTTCTCACTTTCTTGCAAAAGGCGCTTTCGACTAATTCTTCCTCCTTTTGAACTAGTTCCCAGTCCTGCAGAGTCAAGTTTGACACATCACTCAACAATTTCGTTGTTGAACACAAACAACATCGTCCGAGCTTGACACGAACACATTTGAATTGGAAATCTTGAATCCAAATATGTGATTCTTTGATATTTTCCTCATTGGCTCGTTGCTTAATCTTCTCTTTGCTGAAATTTTGAGCTCATTAAAAAAATTATATTCAATTTTTCTTTTTATATTGTTTATACCTTTCCACTAAGTATAGGAATCTTTCAATCTCTGACTCCTCACTAACAAGCCCACCATTTTTCTCAAGATGTTCAAACATCTTACTTAGATGTAGATTTCGCACTTCTTTGGTCAACTCCTTGTAGGCTGCATTAGTCTGCAAAATCTTAAGAGTTTAGAGTTAAAAAATCTTTATTCGTTTCTTTACTTTGGCTTCCTTCAAACTTGACACAGCCATATGGATTAAGGATGCTGAAAGAGAGTTTCCTTTCTGAGCATCATGTACTGCGGCCTCAGCAGACAGATTTGCTTTATTTACCACGCTTTGTGGGATATTGCTGGGCTCCTTCACAAATGTCACTTGCAGATTTGTGGTTTGGTCGATGCAAGTAAGCTCTGAGAAGGTTGAATGAATTGTTAATACTCCAAAAATTAGTTTCAAAACTGATCTAAAAACCTGTGTAGTTCATACTTGGCAAGCCCTTCCCTTTCTTTGTGTTCTTTGCCACAAAAAGAACTAAAAAAAGAATGTGGTTTAAGTTAATTTATTTAATGTAGTAAATTTATAAAGAAAATGGTTAAGTTTTAATACTCTGCTTCAGGTGCTTTTGGCGCTTAGCATTCTTAGAACTAGTGGTCTGGGTTGCTGGATATATTTTGTCGAAGAATAGTAAGCGCGCTTTCCCCTCAATTTCACAATCTTCCTGACTTTCCTGGCGCTTGCAAAGGGCTGAAAATTTATAAAGAACGAATTATTGTAATAAAATCTAAATATATTTTAATGCGCACATAATAATCTGTGTATATTTTTTAAATAAAATAATAAGAACTAGTGTCTATATCATTATAAATATTTCATTTTTTAAGTTTTATATGAAAAATGAACGATTTTTTTTACCAAGCAGTAAAATTTGTAAATCGGGCAGTTCTGATTCAAATAATGATGCCATTATTTGGAGAAATGCTGGAAATCACAGAGATTATGAATATTTTTCTTACCAGCGTTAATCATCAAATCAATCAATTCCTTGTTTTTCCGATGCCACTTATGCACGTTCCTGTCAAGGTTGTCGGACTTGACACTTTTCTGGTGTTCAACGGAGACCCATTTTCCTCGACACTCTTTAACTACATTTTCGTAGTTCGGATTTTGCTTGAGCCATTCCTGAGGATCCTCCGGCGCATTTTGTATGGCAAGCAAACTGACGGCAAGTGCAATTTCAACGAGCACCTCGTCATGCTCAGAGAGTTTTATATTTGCTGAAAAAGTAAAAATAAGAAAATTATGTCATAATTTGTACATAATGCAGCATTTTCTGCATATAGATATCACTTGAAGCTAGTCGGCAGCTAGATTGCTGTAACCGCAGCTAACCGGCAGCTAGATTGGAGCAACCGCAGCTGGCCGGCAGCTAGGTTGCAGCAAACGGGGCTAACCGGCAGCTACATTGCGGCAAGCGCGGCGAGCCGGCAGCTACATGGCAGCGAGTATGGTGGGTCTCGGCAGCTAAGTCGCAGCAAACGCAGCTGGCTGGCAGCAACCGTTTGTGTACGGCAGCTACATTGCAGCAACAGCAGCTGCCTCAGAAAGCTAATTTGTAACGAAATTTGCAGCTAGGGTAGCTGCAAAGTGTTCCAAATGGAACCTAAATTGCAGCCAACTCGATTTCATTTCTATTTCTAGGCTGTAATTTTGTGTTGGGCCTCAAATAGCTGCATTTTAAGAGAAAAGATTTATATGTACATAACTACATATATGCATAGATCGTAATACATAACGTTTTAAGACATACCTGGCCACATTTTTGTTTGCCAGTAGCTTGGCCCTGACCTCGGTTTATGCCGCAGGTCACACGGTCACAGCAGATGAACAGAATTATTTAATTATCTGTGTCACGTAGAAAGTTGGCGGTACAAGATTTCAGGAGAAAAAGATGTTTTTCCGGTTAGCCGAGTGCCCTGAGTGGCGAGTGCACCTCCTTGTCCTTGGTACTAACGAGTGGTCGAGTGCACCGGAGTCCATAACCTGAACAGACCGAAACAGATTGTAACATAAGCATTGCAGGTCGTGCGCAAGAAGTGTTAGTGTTGTTCGTTGTGCTGCGGTGCTGCCTCCAAACGAGCTTGGCGAGAAACCAGTTTGCTTGTTTCATGCGTAGTTTTTCAAAGCCCCGCCCACCTGTCACTGTTTTTTTCTTTGTCTCTTCCAAGCCTCCCAAGCTCGCGCAGTCCACCAATTCTGCTTTTTCGTGTAAAGCAGGTTGCCTATGTTGCACTCTGGAGTCTGGGTGCACTACAATGATTGCTCAGTTTGATAAAATGAGTTTACTTAATGAAGATGGAAAGTACGTTAAAATCAAAAGATGAAGTGGAACTCTGAAAAATTCATTTTAAAGCCAACAAGGAAACTTTTTCCAACAAATTCCTTTGAGGTTAACAATTTTTTATTTCAATATTTCACTTGAATAATCAATTTAAAATTAATTAAAGAATTCAACCACTATTTTGAAAATATTAATATTGCCAGCAAACGTTTTGTGCTATAAGAATTTTAATCGTTGTTAAAAAAAGGAAAATATAATAAATATAGAAAAGTTAAAAGTTTCCAAACATATATTGATGCATATTTTTTTGTCGGTTACCATAAGATGAAAATGATCAGTCCCATTACCTTCGTTGTGTCCTTGGTGTCCAAATATTTGCGGCACTAGATATAATATAAAATGAATAAATATAGTGCCTTTAAATAAAAGTGTCAAATTCTACCACACAACCTGATCGAGCAAATAAAGCTATCTTTTTGAAAATTTTGGCACCGCCACAAAAATTTGCTTTTCCTAATTTTTAACATCAAATTAATATTTCATCATTAAATCAGTCAATGTTTTCATTTTGTCCGTAGTTTAATTGATGAAGAGAGCGTGAAGGAATTTGTCTTTAGCCTTTGGGTGTAGGAGCAACTGGCCTTTTTGAGTCCGGTGTCCTCCACCAGAGGCTGGTCGCCGTCCTGGCTGCGACTCTGAAGGTCCAAACCGACCTGGCGCCGCTCACCATCCTCCAGGTTACCAAGGAGGGTCAGAGGGTGGAGACCTCAGTTACCAGTGTGGCCTTTGAACTTGGCCAAAATGTGGTGCGATCATCTTCTTCCCATTGGTGCGTCGATGTCGAGCCTGAGGTCAGGTTCAGGGTGTGCGATGAGGACGATGAGTAACCTGACAAGAACCTCTTCTGCTCAGCAGAGTGCAATGATGAGGCCATGCAGAAGGTTCATCGCAAGCAAACAGGTTTAACACCACTTCAAGCTCAGCGGCTTTGCAACTTCTGTGATTTACTTTATGGATTTTAAACTGAAATTAACCTGTGAAATTCATTATGGCACATATTAAAATATAATATCAAAATAACATTGGTTGTTTGATTAAAAGTTGACTTAATTCTGTAATAATCTCTCATTATACATAAAAAATACCAACTTTAAACTTTCACTGATGACGCGCATTTTCAAAATATAGTCAAACAGGCATTGAAATTTTTTTCCTTCAATCTAATGAAATAATTGGTTCTGTGGCTGGGAATCAGATATCTGGTACGTCTAATTGAAAAAAAATGCAGTACACTGCTGGACACGCAGTTGATGCACAGGCTTTCAATGCTGCTTTAAGAATGCCTAGGTGGAGGAAACAAAGCTTGGAACTAATTTTGTGATTACCGTGTCAACAGAATGCTCAAAATATATTGGTCTATCAACAAGTGTATTAACACCGCAGATTAATTCTTAGGTAGAAATCATTTTTGGCAAGTCAAATAAATACTTCTTACAAACAAAAAAATCATGCAGTTACTTTCAATTTGTGTTGTTATATCACACATCATCAAACATATAAGTTCTCCTTTCTATATGAACATTCCAATCATCAAATATGTTCCACGTTTTCAAATTAAAATAATTTCTTAAACTTGTTTGACTTGGTAATTATTAAACACAAAAAATGAACTAAAATGCCGGACTGGTCATAGATTGCGGCATTAAATGAAACATTAACATAGTGAAATAAAATATGGTTAAGCAGAAGTCGGTTCCAAACTGTCAATAAAAATAACCAAAAAACCGAACAATTTGAACCTAATAATGCATGTTTAAGTTGTCCACTTTAACCTCACAATTGTGAAGAACAACCCCCCTGCCTGGTGTGGCCGTGCGAAAATGCAAGATGCTAGGAGGGACGAATCCACTTTGACGTCTGCTTGCACCTTGAGTGGGGGTTGAAAATTTCAGTGGTAAAAAAGTGTCCCTTGCAGATGTGCTTTTCAACAATCCAGAAGCCTTCAGCGTTTTGTGACGAAGTCTTCGTCCTTGATGGTTCCTACCCACCCTTCTTACGCTTCTTTTTGATCATGGAGTTAGCCGAGGACGTGGCTGCGGACAGAAGTTGAATAATATGTAGCGTAACTTGTTTAAGAAGGAAAATGAGGAAAATTATTTATAGAAATATGAAAATTAAATAGTTTAGGACTCTTTAAAAACACAAACCATTGTAAATTTTCTAATTCCATAATAAAAGTCAGTTACAAACCTGTGATGTTGATGAAATGTTCTGTTGACGGAGAGACAGAAGAAGCTTCCGGAGGAGAGACCGTAGGAGCTTCCAAACCATAAAGGATAAAGCGAGGAAGACGACTCAGAAGAACGACTAGTTTCTGCAAATAGAAAAAAAATAAAAATTTAACACAAAAAATATGAATCTCAAAAAATGGCAGACTGGGATAATAATGAATTAAGTTTGCAGGGTGACATATCGTTTGAAGTTTCAAAAAGCAATACAAAAGGAGAACAATAAAACTACTATAAGAAAACAGTATAATGGTCGGGCAAGTAAATTATCATGAACAAAATTCGATATAGAAAAATAGATTTTGATAGAAATATCTCCGAAAAAATTCTCAGATGTTTTACATCAATAATGGAAGAAACCGCACTGAAACGGCGCCTTCTCAGCGCAGCCCCAGTCAAGGATTTAATTAATATACAAATGTTCTACAATTAAGCTAATTTAGAATTCCGAGAATGACAATCTTTCTCAATTTCAACTCAAAGGACTTTTGACAAAAGTAAATGAACTGCCCTGGACACACACCTATTCGGCGTAGCCCCGGCCACGGTTTTACTTAAATTTTATTTCTCGTATTCAACTCAAAAAAAGAACCGCCCTGGACACACACCTATATGGCGTAGCCCCGGCCACGGTTTTAATTAAATTTAATTTCTCGTTTTCAACTCAAAAAAAGAACCGCCCTGGACACCCACCTATTTGGCGTAGCCCCGGCCACGGTTTTAATTAAATTTAATTTCTCGTTTTCAACTAAAAAAAGAACCGCCCTGGACACACACCTATTCGGCGTAGCCCCGGCCACGGCTTTAATTAAATTTTATTTCTCGTTTTCAACTCAAAAAAAAAGAACCGCCCTGGACACACACCTAATCGGCGTAGCCCCGGCCACGGCTTTAATTAAATTTTATTTCTCGTTTTCAACTCAAAAAAAGAGCCGCCCTGGACACACACCTATTCGGCGTAGCCCCGGCCACGGCTTTAATTAAATTTTATTTCTCGTTTTCAACTCAAAAAAAAAAGAACCGCCCTGGACACACACCTATTCGGCGTAGCCCCGGCCACGGTTTTAATAAAATTTATTTTCTCGTTTTCAACTCAAAAAAAGAACCGCCCTGGACACACACCTATTCGGCGTAGCCCCGGCCACGGTTATAATTAAATTTAATTTCTCGTTTGCAACTCAAAAAAGAACCGCCCTGGACACACACCTATTCGGCGTAGCCCCGGCCACGGTTATAATTAAATTTAAATTCTCGTTTGCAACTCAAAAAAGAACCGCCCTGGACACACACCTATTCGGCGTAGCCCCGGCCACGGTTAAAATTAAATTTAATTTCTCGTTTTCAACTCAAAAAAGAACCGCCCTGGACACACACCTATTCGGCGTAGCCCCGGCCACGGTTATAATTAAATTTAAATTCTCGTTTGCAACTCAAAAAAGAACCGCCCTGGACACACACCTATTCGGCGTAGCCCCGGCCACGGTTATAATTAAATTTAAATTCTCGTTGGCAACTCAAAAAAGAACCGCCCTGGACACACACCTATTCGGCGTAGCCCCGGCCACGGTTAAAATTAAATTTAATTTCTCGTTTGCAACTCAAAAAAGAACCGCCCTGGACACACACCTATTCGGCGTAGCCCCGGCCACGGTTATAATTAAATTTAATTTCTCGTTTTCAACTCAAAAAAAGAACCGCCCTGGACACACACCTATTCGGCGTAGCCCCGGCCACGGTTATAATTAAATTTAAATTCTCGTTTGCAACTCAAAAAAGAACCGCCCTGGACACACACCTATTCGGCGTAGCCCCGGCCACGGTTAAAATGAAATTTAATTTCTCGTTTGCAACTCAAAAAAGAACCGCCCTGGACACACACCTATTCGGCGTAGCCCCGGCCACGGTTAAAATTAAATTTAATTTCTCGTTTTCAACTCAAAAAAAGAACCGCCCTGGACACACACCTATTCGGCGTAGCCCCGGCCACGGTTATAATTAAATTTAAATTCTCGTTTGCAACTCAAAAAAGAACCGCCCTGGACACACACCTATTCGGCGTAGCCCCGGCCACGGTTATAATTAAATTTAAATTCTCGTTTGCAACTCAAAAAAGAACCGCCCTGGACACACACCTATTCGGCGTAGCCCCGGCCACGGTTATAATTAAATTTAAATTCTCGTTTGCAACTCAAAAAAGAACCGCCCTGGACACACACCTATTCGGCGTAGCCCGGGCCACGGTTATAATTAAATTTAAATTCTCGTTTGCAACTCAAAAAAGAACCGCCCTGGACACACACCTATTCGGTGTAGCCCCGGCCACGGCTTTAATTAAATTTAATTTCTCGTTTTCAACTCAAAAAAAGAACCGCCCTGGACACACACCTATTCGGGGTAGCCCCGGCCACGGTTTTAATAAAATTTAATTTCTCGTTTTCAACTCAAAAAAAGAACCGCCCTGGACACACACCT